GGTGTGCTAATGCAAACTCCATCATTCAAAAAAAGCACAAAAATAAGCTAAGCATTCATAAAAACATAAAACTCACCTATTCTCAAATGCGCTCTTCTCATCAACCGGAATCGCTTGCACTCGCCAACTACCCGAAGTTGAATCCCCATAAACAATGTACGTTATTTGTGCACCTTCTAAGTTCAACTCTTTTTCCAATGTGAAGAAATGCTCTTTCCATGGCACACCGCCTTTTTCCAAAACAAGGATTTGTCCACTCGGATCGATCTTTAATAAGAATTTTCAAGAAAATCACGAAAACTGCATTTTAATTCATTCTGTTTGGTAGTTTGATTGTGCCTTCAATGCTCGGAATGGATGTTGAGATGAATAGGGAAATTTTGATTTACAGTGGAGGTGTACAACAAAGAAATTTATGATAATATGTGTGGTGCTAAATCAAAATGTGTGTCATAAGAACGATAAATACACAGAACTTGCAGCCGGAGCGAAATCGCTCGAAAAATAGCTTTTACACAAAATCGGCCGAAAAATGGCATTCAAACTGAGAACGTCGTCGCACTCACATCGAAACGATTTTTGACGCATTCGGCAACGATATCGCGGGCTGGCAACCACGATTTGTGTAAGTATCCTAAACGCTCCAAAAACTCTTGACCTACCAGTTTCATCGCGTCTTCGAACCTTAAGAAAGAACTCATTGGAAGTAAAAATGCCTTCCACCTCATAACAAATAATTTTCTGTTAGTGGAAGGAAATTTTCCGAATTCGGACAAAAATTTTTAACCGAGCTTAGCACCGATTCCGCTTCAAGAATATCATGACAGAACTAATCGTCAGCTCCAAACTGACATATCAACACTGCACAAAATGCTCTAATTGTTCCAGGAATTGAACCAAAAATGTATTCAACGTGAGATTTAATGGACAATCGTTCGAATTACGTTCAAATTTTAGCATTAGGTTCCAATTTAAAACTTCCATCCTCCTCTCCTCTCCCTTATGAATTTTTTCCTTCGTGATACTCACAATGGAAGTGTTCTCTAACCTTTTCTCAACATCAACATCCTCGTCATTCCAGGCTGGATTCAGGTTTCCAACGCGACTCGAAAGCGTTCCGCCGAGATGATATCTTCAACATTCAAGCATAGTTTTTTGTTCAAGCGAGTAATTTGTTCACGAAATAAACAATCGCAAATGAGACGATGACAAAAAAAAGATCGCTAATCAAAGCAAAATGATAACCGAACTGATAACATGTAATACCTGGGTGTGCCATCGAATTGTGGAATACCGTTATCGATTGCATCCACAGCCTCAACGAAACTTTCGTAGAGTTTTTTATACAAAACCTCCACAATCTTATCACTCTCATTCACTGATAAACGCTCCGCCAAAACACGCTTCCCATAATGCGCATAGATGAGTCCAGCTGAGCTCAGTTTCGTCTCAAATTCCAGAATGTCCAACGATTTCATCGTATGTGAGAAATCTCTTCAAAGCAAAAATCAGGACGGATCATCTAATTTTCAAATTGAGAGCATCCATGTGACACCATATCGTCGTAATTAATGCAGTCGGATTCCCATCCACAATACAAATAGGTACATTCAATCATTAAGAGCAGT